TTTTTTTTTTTGAAAGAGAAGCACTTTCCACTCGCACTTTATTATACCCAATTTTAATAAGTTACAAAACTGCAAACCATATTTTTTCTAAAGATTGTAATTAAAAAGTTANCTTTTTTTTTTTGAAAGAGAAGCACTTTCCACTCGCACTCTATTATACCCAATTTTAATAAGTTACAAAACTGCAAACCATATTTTTTCTAAAGATTGTAATTAAAAAGTTAGAAATTTTGGTGAAACATTGCAGAATTAATTTTTATAGTTTTTGCACAAAGTTGGAAATTTGGTGTTATATGGTTTTTGTTAGAATAATAGCTTTAATTTCATAAAATAAATAATAAACATTCAATAAACGAAGGAGGAATAGCCAAAACTTATTAAAATTTCGAGTCCTAATTCCTATTTTGGTCACTGTATGTATTCCTCGATTCGAATCACAGGTATTCAGACTAGAATATAATAACTGTTTATGGAGAAAATTATGATCATATGCCAACATCACTTAAAACTCGTTCATAGGCATGCCATCTTAGTGAGCTGTTAGGGCGTCGAAACATCAAATACGGGACAAATAAAGACATTAAAAGAAATACAGGACATTTGGCGTCCCGTATGAAATAAATAAATGACCAGGACAATGGGCAAACAAAAAGAGGACTGTCTCGTATAATACAGGACGGATGGTCACCATAGCTATAATTCTTTATATACTTTACGGTTGGCAATGCCATTTCACTTCACTTCGTCTCCTTCATTTCGTGACATTATTGTATAACAAATTCGCACAGTTGTCGACTTTACCGTACGCCTAAAAACAAACCACTAAATGTGTCAAACAGAGAATGCAATTTCTTGCTTTCTCTTCTCGTTTCGTGCGCGTTTCGTGTGTGTTGTACTTTTCCTCATCGTCGTAGTTGTCGTCGTTGTTGAAATTAATAATCTATTGTTTTAACTTCTATTTTAACGAAAATTAATATCAAAACAACGAATTTTTTTCTTCCTTGTAACTTGCCGACAACATAAAATCGTTTAATTTGTGGAAATGTGGCCCAAACGAATAGCGAACAACGAATTTTTCGCCGTGTGTCGGTTATGAGTCGCGGAACAAACGAACAAATCGACAAATGAAAAAATTATCGAGTTAACTTTTAGGCGTATAAAAACGCGAACGGTCATCCTCAAGTTGCTAACGTACGGTGTGCTCCTTTGCATTGTTTAATTAACTAAATTTTAATAAGTGTGAAAATTAGAGAAGCACACGAATTTGTTTTGTTTTTCTTTTTTAATTTTCTCTACTTGTAAATGTTACCCACACAAACACTTTCAAGCACACGAATTCGAACACACACATGCCTACGAATAAACAAACACGCCCGCTTTGGAACGCTGCAACTGAACAAACAAACCCTCAACGCTTACTCGAAAGGATTTATTTATGTATGTAGGTGGTTGGCGCAAGTTAGGGTGAAAAGTGCATAGGCACCTCACCTACCGTTTCTTCTTCAGTCACCTTCAACTCCAGCTTCGGTGCCACCAACCTCAAGGGTACGCGTGGAACTACATACTTTGCTTTGTTTGTTGTTGTAAGAGGTGTTCTCATGCGATTGTGGGTGTGTGTGTGTGCACTTTAAGTGTGACATTTAGTTGCATCTATTCATTAGGAAAAGCCACGCGTTTGCGTGAAATTAATAAGGTTTATTAAACGACCGCCCCTCCATCACAACCATGTCATCGTACATATCGTCGTTTAAAGTACAAAACCGCGTATCAACAAAATGCAAAACCGCGTATGTGAGGTTGCATAGATTATTTTCGAGAGAGAAAAAACGCTCATTTCAAAATGGTTCTCTTTTTAATAAAGCAATCGCATTTCTGGATAGTATATTTCAGAACGAATAGATAAGGATTGGGCCAAGAGCTTGTGTGAGCAAATCCAATTTTTGCCAGCAAATGTTAGTTATGCGGTTTTGTACTTTAAATGACGATATGTATGTATGTATTTACATTAGTATGCTCTTCTCCAGCGCCAACCAACACCCCACTCACTCAGCAAATATACACAAAAAATAAACACTTGTACACACTCGCAAATCTTGCATGTATGTGTGTATGTGGGAAACTGTGTGTGTGTGTTAGGAGCCAACCTTAACCCACGACGATTAATGCCACTTTCAGTTCAAGTGTGTAGGTATAAAGAGAGGGAGTTGGCATAGTACACCCACATGACTACAACAACAACAGCAATCACATAAGTTATCTACCGCAAAAGCAAGGTGGTAGGAAGCAAACTAACGACAACATCGATTCAACAGACATCTAGTCGGTATTCAGTGCATTGAAAAGGGAGAAAATCGGGAGAATGTGTGGAAGAAAAAGGAAGATGAAATGAAGTAATGTTTACTATTTACGGTAAAATGGGGTTGACAGAGAGAAAATGTTTTGGAGTTATTAGGCCTCTTCATAGCAGTCATTAAAATCGGAGCGACCTAATTAAAGGACAATAATTTATTTAATTCATTTCCGGGAGGTATTTTTTTAAATGGCACAATTTTTTTTTTTAATGTCATAAGGTAAATTTACGAACGTGTTATGCGAAAAAATCTTTTTTTTTATTAATTTATTTTTTTTTAATTTATTAAAAATATGAATAGAGTTTTTTTAATTTATTTTTTTTTTAATTTATTAAAAATATGAATAGAGTTTTTTTTAAATCAAGAATCTCTTTAAACCAAGTCTCAGTTTGGAAGAGAGTTAGTTAGCCGGATTACAACGCGACGTATTTAAATGCTCCCCAACTTTGTCAATTGTGCACTAAGTGAGAGAGACTAGCTCTATTTAACGGAATCCGTTCTTGTACTCTTTCAGTAAAAATTACCCACAACCAGTACTCGAAAGCATTGGCTCTCAGAGAGAAAACTATTTTAAAAGAGTAAAGAGTGCAAAACTTGTAACAATTTTCTAGTTTTAATAACAGCTAATTAACTGGTTGTAAATAAGTTTTCTAACAAAACAACATACCTTTGTGTAACAACATCAAGGCACACGTCACAAATCGGAGGAGAAGCTCGGCCAAACACTAACATACATATGTGTAAGCGCCAATCTATTATATTATTATTGTTTGCAATTTATCTGGCAGTCTCGAAAAAAAACCCGGAAAAATTAAACCCAAAGAATTCTGATAATCACCGAAAGAATTTTGAGGGGCAGAGAAAAAAATTCCGGAAAGTCTCAAAGAAATCCGAAAAATCACGAGGGGCTTCAATTTTATGCCCAAAAAAATAAAACGAAAATATTACCGAATATTTTCTGCCTTAAAAATTTGGATAAGATAACGTGGTCGAAATAATTGAGCCGGCATGATGGTTCTTGAAGCCGGCTTCTTGCGACGATTGACTTCTAAATTTTCTACGGAGCCAGTAATTGTCTTTTCCAATTTTCGATGGCCAGAAATCTCTAAATTAGAAGTGCACAACCTGTTGCTCAGTTGGCCCACAACAACATCACCGTGGCGCGCCTTGGGTGATTTACAAAAAAAAGCATCATATTTGGAAGCATAACATGCAAAATGATCACAATAAAACCAATTTGTAGCTCCAATGAAGCGCACAGAATTTTAGATAATAACTGATCCAGTTCAGCCAAAGATTCCAAAGAATCGTGGAGGAATGAGCATCTACCAGCCCTCGCCAATGCATGGCTAATGCCTTGCGCTTTCGGTTTTCTATACATCACGACAGTAATCGTTTGACTGACAGCAGGCAGTACCCAGTGAGAACTCCACTTACTCGTCAAGGCACCGGAGTTAAGGGCGAGATCTACACCTGTTTACCCACGATTGAGAGAATACAAAGGTTGCGCCGATCTCGGACCGCACTTAAGCCAGATATGCCTTCCCTCAATCAAGTGGGCTCACCCGTCCTTACATATAGACACTTTCGCAATATTTTGTAACCAGCTTATGAAATGGTGCCAACATTTACCGGTTACAAGAGTGCACAGAATGTGAAAAGGGTTTACAATTTTACAGGAACTTTATTTAGGGGTTACAAAATTTTACGTTTACGGTTTTAAAAACGGGTTACATGTTTATGTAAGTACTGCCACACCGGAAATGCAATCCAATAGTAATACGACTACTAGTGTAAAACCCCTTGAGACATGATTAGAAATCACATTCTACGATCTACATATGTATGTAGGAAAGTACGTGGATACTTTTGGCATCTGTCATACGGGGTGGCGTAGTTAAAGTATCAGAAACAGTATTGGCGGTAGGCGAGACGATAATTCTTCGGCTGCTACTGCTTCTATTGGCTCCGATTGCAATTCTCGCGCAGCGAATCCTCCCACACACGCTTTACACATTCGGAACGCACGCATCTGCATATGAGCACACAAGTGCATCGCAGTCATTTACAGCTGTCAACCGGCCGTGTTGGCTTACATACACAAACGACAGCACACATACACAGACTTATTTTGGTACCTTTATTTACATATGTAAAGCTTTCACTTTTTGTCCGTTGCATGTTGATGATTTGCGTAGACGTTAAGTGGCGTAGTGAATTAGTGTGACGAACGAGCACAAAGGAAGCGCACGCCAGTTGCACATAATGCGTAAGTGTGAATTGTGAACGGTTAACTGTTAATTGAAATGGCGTAAATTGAAAGCGATACAAACATACGAAATACGAGTGCTTACTTTGTGAAATTGTCAAATGCGCGCACACGCAGCAGCTGAAGCATATCTGCAGGCGGTGTAGCAATGATACGCACTTGTAGCAAAATCAAAGTACAATTTTTAAATTAAATTCATAATTTTGTTTGTGTTATCAAATTTGTTGAAGATAGATTATACATATATAGAAAATGTGTGTCCAAATATGGCAAGTAAAATAAGATATAATTCGATGTAACGCCTATAAAGCCTAAAAGTATACACGATAAAACAAAAGATTATTTTTAAAAGTTGCAAAGCGAATAAGATTCTTATGTAAAAAAGGCATTCAATATAAAAGCGAAAAAAGCAAGCAAACGAGGGCCATAGCTGCCTTTTTCGCACAAAGGCGCCCAAACTTATAGCAGAGCAATAACGCCTTGACGCCTTCACCACCTTTGACGGCCAGTGATATCCTACAACATCAACATAACTGAATCGCAACGAAGTGAACTTATCTTCAGTCAGCTGTCACGATGGCCGATAAAGCGGATAAAGCGGATAAAACTGATAAAGCAGATAAAGGAAAGGAAGCCCCCAAAAATACGGAACAAAAGAACCAAGTCACCCGTGCCATGCCCGAACAGAGCAACGACTATCGTGTTGTTGTGTTTGGTGCCGGTGGTGTGGGTAAAAGCTCCCTGGTCTTACGTTTTATTAGGGGAACCTTCCGCGAAACTTACATACCAACCATTGAAGACACCTATCGACAGGTAAGTGCTATTCAATCTTATTTCTAAACGCTGTGAATGTACAAACATATGGACGTAAATACAAATGAATTTGTTAGTTTATAAGTAGCAGGGGAAGTGATCGTAATTATTTTGTGTACATAAATTTGTTGATTTAAATCGCAAAGGATGAATTCGATGCAAAATTTACGAGGAAGAAGGTAGTGTAAAAAAAACAATGCCCAAATGTGATAAACAGGCATTTATGCTGAAAATTTTTAGACACGTATGTACACAACTATATATGTACATATGTATGTACTCTAGATATTTTTTGCGATTGAAATTTGGCGTAGTGATTTCTAGAATCCCATTGAAACTTTATGTATGTATTTAGCGGCTAGCCAACACTATGGACCGTAGTTGTAGTTGGACAAAATAAAATAAGGTATGGATGACTAAAATTTCATTTCACTGAAAACGACACTCTAATGCTGGATTTCCACTAGGCATTAATGCTGGACTTGGCATAAAATGGCAAAAATTGTAATGAATGTAAGTTGGGCATTAAAAAATATTCGAGTCATTACGTTAAAAAAATACGTAGGCATTAAACTCATTTCCACGTGACATTTTTTAAATGCCTCTAATTTTTTGTCATTTCAATACCTATTGGAAATTCGGCATAAAGGCGGGCTCCCATGGCATGCGTATACGTATGCGTGCGGTTGACAGAAAAATTGAATATATAAATTTGTATGGCAGCACCGACATAGTAACGTATGAAAAAGTGAGGAAATTGTATGAATTTTGATTCCTAAGCGTAAATGTCAAATTCACGCATACGGATACGCATGCTATGGAGGTCCGCCTTAACTCCGCTATAGTCAAGTTAAAACGACTTTTATCATCTCAAAAACGTATAGAAAAAAATTGTATGTATGTAAATATGTATTTCTAATGTTACATATACATATTTTATTTCATTTATACAAATCTACCTTTAACATTTAACATTTCCATTTCATTTGGAAGAGTTTAACAGTGAAACATCTTCATATCAGCAGCGGCCAAAAATAGTAAATGTAATCTGCTTTCGTTCAAATTTCAGTTAGGAAAGAAGAAATATGAAATATGGTCAAGATTGGATGACTGCTACGTCTCCCTACCAGAGCTCTTGTTAGTCGACTAATCAAATAGTCGGTTTTTCGAATAACAAAAGTTTTTTCAAAAAATAGTCGACTTCACTTAATCGACTAACCATTTCCTTTCGACTTTTGCAACTAACCGCTCACAAACCACCAGTCGACAAACAGTTCATTTTCGATTTTCGACTAGTTATTTTCCTTCAAGGTTCTTTCATTGCTTTTTTATTATTTTTGAAATACCTATTCTTATTGACAAAACCCAACCGCGCTAAAAACAATAAATTTATTGTGAAAACTGTCACTATTCGAATAATTTCGGTTAGTCGATTTTCGGACTACTCGCGATTGTGAGCGGTTAGTCGAAAATGAAAGTGAGTCGAATTCGAGCGGTTCAAAGTTTTCTGATTTTGCTGAATTTTGGTTTACACATTTTGTTTACCTAGCGAAACATAAATATAAAATATGAAAAAAGATTGGCCCACAGCCAAGCCCGCCCACCCACACAAAATGTAGCTTCTATTTTTATTATGGTCGGGTTTTGATGAAATATGGTGAAATATGATGACTTTCACATAAAAATGCCTTCGCGTAGTATATAAGTATATACAGTGTTAAATAGATACATATGACTTTTTGAATAGGTGGCCACCCTAATGAAAAATATTTTCAAATTAAAGCTAGGGAATCTTTCGTTTGACACTCATAATATAATGTTTCATATACAAACAGAACTTGTGTAGAATGTAATTAAATTTGACTTATCTAATAGGCGGCAACCCTCTTTTTAAAACTACAATCCATATTGTGATGCATATTTCAATTACCTACTTCAGTTAAATCAAGTTGAATTTGATGCTTTAAACAGATGGCAACCCTCCTACATGTAGAAATAACAAATGTTTTGTGTGATGGTGTTGGTTGATTTTTGCGACAGGGTGGTAAGATTATCGAACGAAAAATTACACTGAAGATGGCACAACACCGTAACCGGTTTGTCTGCAAACCAAACTTGACAAGGGATGACGGAAATTCGTTCCAAAATAAATGTTTTTAATTTTTTTTTCATTCGTCTGTTCATGTTCTGTACATGGCCGTACTCGAATATGGCAGTATGCAGCTCTCAAGAAAAGGAAAAACTCCATATAAATTGACGTACAAGAAATGGCTAAGAAATTTTCTTGTGTCAAATTTTCTTAGGACAGTACGCAGTTTATAAGAAATTTGCTACGCTTTCTTCTATGGTTTTCGAAATTTTTTTGCGAAAAAAGAGCACAAGGCAACCCATGTTTGCAACAGAAATACATGCCCGTTCCCTTATTTCTTGAGGAAAGAGTGGAGTAACAGGCTGTGAAATACCAGATATCAAAATTTCTTGGTCACACACACGAAATAATGCCAATTTTTTCCTTGACTGTTTTCTTAAGACCTGGATACTAAGCACAAAGTATGCATATGCATTCGCAATACAAACTTAAAGTGAAAATGACCGGATCTAGAAGAACGGCTACAGACCCGTAATTTACGATGCTATAAATAAGTTTACATGTCTCGGCGTTTTTTTTTTTCATTTCTACACTGTAATTAATTCAGACTTTTTCCTAGCGATACAAAAATATCATCTTCTAAACTTACCCCCTCCCTGTGGCACTCTGTTCACAAATACAACATAACCAATACTGATTTTGCCACCGTTTGTGTACTTTTACCTTTCTTGGATCCTAATCTGTTTATGTCTCCAGTAATCAATCGCTGCATAAATGGCTCGATTTCGTTTGTGAATTCTTTTTAACGAATTTCTAGAATTTCTTCTTCATGGCTCATTACCTTTCAAATTAAGCACATATATACGTACTCGTAAATGATTAAATAGTATTTGTAGAAGATAGTCTCATAATTAATGAATTTAGTAAATAAATTAAATTTTCCAATCGTGATCTGAGATTTTCTTATCTACCTTTGACCTAGAAAGCAAAAGTAGTAGTCGCATTATTACGCCACAATTCTCACTGACCCATATTTTTAAATTGCTTTTCAAATTCTTCTCTGGAGTTATGAATTTAAAGTCTAATGGGCCTGAGCACACTAGCCTGCTCAGTCGGACTGAGCAGTCCACCCCTCGAACGCACACTGGACTGGGCATTCGGCCGAAAACAGGTTTCAGTTTTCATGATTGTGTTAGCGATTTTCACGGACTGAAATGAGCGAGGAACTGGAACCAAGCCACCAGAGCCCTACATTTTTGAAGTACTTATATGCTTGGTGACCCTTTTACAGGTAGCAGGTAGGAACGGTACGTAAACACGTTACTCACCTTTGTTTAAGTCGAACTGCTGATTTTTTACTCGCATACGTTTAACTATTAATCTTATTAGGAATATTGAATATTGCCAGAGACATTTTATTGCCACCTGAGTTCGAAATAATTCACCAGCGGATAAACAACAGACTGCTAAATTCGAGGATTCGTTTTTTACCACGTTTGTTTGTATTTTAAATACGAGGAGATAATTATGTTACTCATACGCCATGTATCCACGCGTTTGATCAAACTTAATAGTAGTGTTGGGAAGTATCCAGTACTTTTGAGTATCGAGTTCTTTGGTATCGATACTTTTAGGGATCGGGTATTTTTCAGAGTACTGAGTGCGTTTTTTAAATATACACTTGTTGGTACCATTTCAATACTTAGGGCCGTTTTCTCAAGTTANGGACTGAAATGAGCGAGGTAAACTCGAACTCTCTTCCCCCTCTTATCCACACAAAACCGGTTTTAGGCGGACTGAGCAGTGCAGGGGGCGGAGGCCCATTGACTGGAACCAAGCCACCAGAGCCCTACATTTTTGAAGTACTTATATGCTTGGTGGCCCTTTTACAGGTAGCAGGTAGGAACGGTACGTAAACACGTTACTCACCTTTGTTTAAGTCGAACTGCTGATTTTTTACTCGCATACGTTTAACTATTAATCTTATTAGGAATATTGAATATTGCCAGAGACATTTTATTGCCACCTGAGTTCGAAATAATTCACCAGCGGATAAACAACAGACTGCTAAATTCGAGGATTCGTTTTTTTACCACGTTTGTTTGTATTAAATATGTTAANTAGAGAATCATTTTCTGATAGACATTGATAATCTTCGTGTTGATGTATATGGGCCTGAGCACACTAGCCTGCTCAGTCGGACTGAGCAGTCCACCCCTCGAACGCACACTGGACTGGGCATTCGGCCGAAAACAGGTTTCAGTTTTCATGATTGTGTTAGCGATTTTCACGGACTGAAATGAGCGAGGAACTGGAACCAAGCCACCAGAGCCCTACATTTTTGAAGTACTTATATGCTTGGTGGCCCTTTTACAGGTAGCAGGTAGGAACGGTACGTAAACACGTTACTCACCTTTGTTTAAGTCGAACTGCTGATTTTTTACTCGCATACGTTTAACTATTAATCTTATTAGGAATATTGAATATTGCCAGAGACATTTTATTGCCACCTGAGTTCGAAATAATTCACCAGCGGATAAACAACAGACTGCTAAATTCGAGGATTCGTTTTTTACCACGTTTGTTTGTATTTTAAATACGAGGAGATAATTATGTTACTCATACGCCATGTATCCACGCGTTTGATCAAACTTAATAGTAGTGTTGGGAAGTATCCAGTACTTTTGAGTATCGAGTTCTTTGGTATCGATACTTTTAGGGATCGGGTATTTTTCAGAGTACTGAGTGCGTTTTTTAAATATACACTTGTTGGTACCATTTCAATACTTAGGGCCGTTTTCTCAAGTTACCTGTAACTTTAAAGCTCACTTTATATTTAAGGTTTCCACTAAAATGTATGATTGTGTCTAAAGTAAAGCATTTTATTATCGATTTCAAATTGGTTGAAAAC